GCATATGATTTCCTCTGTGTTACCTCTTCCAGTTTCAGTTCATCAAGCACATCCCTCTCCACTCTGAATCTCTCAGATCTGCGTGCAGACTCCATCTGTCTAACTCTGTCTAAGTACAAAGATTCTTTCTGACTGCAAGCGTGCAACCAAAAGCAGATGCCGGAGAAGTGTTGTGGAAGCAGCAACTGCATCTGCATATCTACACCATATTGCCTAATGATTAACTACAGCCAGGATATTGTGGGCAGAGCTATTACAAAGATAGTGGACCGGATGAAGCAAAATATATAATTATGTGCTGAAAATAGAAAAAGGTTAACTCAGTGATCATGTGTTTCCATTCATGTTGTTTTATTTTTTCCATTCAGCAACAAAACTGAAGCTAACGAACCATGAACAGTCATTTCAAACCCAGCGTACCCAGGTAACTATTTAATGAAGTCAAAGTGACAAAATCAAACGTGGGTTCTTTTAAAGCTTTATGTCCCTTTTTATGAGAAACTCTGATTTCTGAAGCTTGTGCACACACAGTATGCACTGGGTCTTTAAGAGAACACAGTCATGAAATCTGAATCCAAACTCAGAGCAACATCTCATGCATTTCAGAGCGGCATGCACGTAACCAGGGCAAACAAACCTGGAAAGAATTACCCCAAATGGTGGGCAATTTAATTCTGATGAGTGAAATTATGAATGACAACATAAAATATAATAACAGTTATTGTTGTGACTGCTTTAAAACCTTCTCTTCAAGGATCACTCAAAACCTTCTGACCCACTTGTTGTCTGCCACAACACTATCTATTTTTGGGTTACCAGCTCAGAGGGCAGCAGCAGAGGAGGGGGTACATATCTTTGCCACGCATTTGCTCAGGCCTCTCTAACCCCACCGACTGTGACATTCGGCAACATCAACAACACATGTAGCCTGTTTAAAAACAGATATGCACTGGTCTTTTTAGATTGAAGACGGTCTTTTTAGTACGCCAAGAGGAGCTGATGCATTTGGTAAGACTAATTTTTTTAAAGGGAATAAATGCTGCAGTATGTGTCTGCTGTCATAGTGATCTGTTACAGTGTTACTCTGCTTCTACACTTCTATATGTTGATCTATTTATTGTACACAAAGGCTAATCTGAAAATGTCATGTCATCATGTCATGATGGTGGTGAAAAGATAAGGCACTGCTTAAAGTCTCTTTTAGACTGTACTGATCTTAACTGAAACATTACTTCCTTTTTATCCGCATAAGCTTGATTTTATCAAACCTTTTTAACTAAATTTCACTCTATCATGCACCAGTGAAACATCGGGAGTGGCAACCTTTAATTCTGTGTGCATTTTCTTCTGTTTTTCAGAAAAAGCCTCATTAGTTGTTCAGGGTGTATAAAACCTCCTGTTTAAATTTGTAAATAACATTTTCACCGACGTTTTGAAGCATAATGGATCTTACTGCTAAACATGGGCTGCTGCTGCTCGACCAGCTGAGGAAGATGAGGGACGCTGAGCATCTGACAGATGTGGTGCTGGTTGCTGAGGGCGTCAGCTTTCCCTGTCACAGAGTTGTTCTGTCTGCCTTCAGCCCATACTTCCGTGTTATGTTCACCTGTGGCCTGCGTGAGTGCAACAACAGAGAGATATTCCTGCGTGACACTCCTGCAGACAGCCTGGCCCTCCTCTTGAACTACATGTACTGCTCAGATCTTCCTCTCACTAATGGCAACGTACAAGGCATCTCCATAGCAGCTTTTCTTCTACAGATGGATGATGTCTTCACTCGCTGTCAGCTGCACATGATGGAGAACATGGATGCCTCTAATTGCCTTGGTGTATATTACTTTGCCCGTGACCTCGGTGCAGAGGAACTGGCTGACCAAGCTCAGCGCTTCCTGAGGCAGCACTTTGTCCAAGTGTGCCAGAATGAGGAGGTCTTGGAGTTGGAGGCCCATCAGCTTGGAAAGCTTCTGTCATCTGACGATCTGAATGTGTCTCGGGAAGAAACCATTCTGGATGTGGTCCTTGGATGGGTCAAACACAGTACCCTGGTGGATGGAGAGGTACGTGTTCGGCATCTCCCAGAGCTCCTGCGGAAGGTCCGTCTGCCACTGATAAACCCCGACTACTTAAGAGAAGCAATAAAGAGAAACACAGCCCTGCTGGCTGATGCTGAGTGTCTGGAGATTATGAACGAAGGACTGGAGGCCACGGCTTTGCATCCCGCGGCTGCACCACGCAAACTAAAGCTGCGTTATGGCATGGAGACCACAGATCTGCTGCTCTGCATTGGCAATGATAGTGGCGGTATCAGGTCAAGGTATGGCAGCTATGCTGAGCGCAGCTTTTGCTTTGCACCGTCCACAGGGCGAATTTATTACATCACCTCACCTCGCTACGGAGAGGCTCTGGGGTATGTGTGTGCTGGAGTTGTGACTGAAAGAAATGACATCATTGTAGCAGGAGAGGCAAGTGCTCGCAGAATGGCCCGACAGAAAGACACCAGTGTTGAAATCTGCAGGTAAGAAAAGATATCTGACAGCACTTGACTGATTTGCCTTTGTTTACCCCACATACAGAAGATACTAAATGTTGCCAGATTTGATTTCCAGGTACATGGTGGAGGCCCAGGGAAGCTGGGAGCACCTGACATCAGCAGAGTACCGTGATTCTTATGCTCTGGCGTCACTGGGAGACACTCTATACTTGCTGGGTGGCCAGATGAAGCTGAAGAACCAGTTTCTCATCACAAACTGTGTGGAACGCTGGTCTCTGCAGGGTGGACCCTGGCGGAGCGCAGCACCCCTTCCTTTGCCTTTGGCTTGTCACAGTGTGGTCAGAATGAAAGATCGCCTTTATGTGGTGGGCGGTCGAACCCCACAGGTGAGGCAAAATAAAAGAAATCACTTTCCAGCTATTTAAACGCATTCACTTTAAGTCTTATAAACTAAAGATACTTCTTTTACACATTGAAGGAGAGCTCTTACTGTGTCCCTATGTGACCCTTCTCTGACTGCACCTGCTCTGCTTTGTCATATCATTGCTCCCCTTCGACCTTCCAGTCATACCGGATGGATGAGGAGCCCGACTGTCTTAGTAACCGCCTCTTGGAGTATGATCCAAACACAAACAAATGGACAGAGCTTTGTCCCATGAAATACTCAAAGTACCGCTGCAGTGCTGTAGTACTCAATGGGGAAATTTATGTAATGGGTAAGATGAATTATTTTGTTAAGCTGCCAATACATTTGAAGGAATTTCATTAGTGCCATTGTGGTGGCCGTCCTCTTTGAACTGCACTGATTTTTGCCAACTTCTTTCTCAGGTGGTATTGGTTGTGAGGGTGTGGACCGTGGACAATCCCGTCACTGTCTCAGCGCTGTGGAGATTTACAATCCAGATGGAGATTATTGGAGGGACGGACCTCCTCTGCCATGTTCCCAGCTTTCATTGCGTACTAACGCCTCCAATGCTGGTGTTGTGGGAGGAAAGATTTATGTTTGTGGATATTACAAAGGAGCAGGTAATGAAAAAGTATCCATACCTATTATGCATAAAATATTTAGCTTCCCCCCCCCCCCCCCGTGACTGTATTTCCACTCTGTGTATTAACTATCCTTAGATCGCCATGATGACATAACAAAGGACATTCTGGAGCTAGACCCGTGGGAGAACCGGTGGACTGCGGTGGCTCGGCGTGCTTTAATGCATGACAACTATGACGTCTGCTTAGTGGCAAATCTCAACCCAAGGGGACTCGTATCCCCACCTGCAGACTTAGTAAAGCTGTGACACCACTGTCAGTCAGATCAAAGTCTGCGAAGGAGAATTAGTGAAGGAAATTAATCATTAATGCACTTATTGCACAGCTTATGGCAATCACTTTTTTCAAGCAAGAAAGCTCTTAGTACTCTGCATGAAAGAGACGTCTATGGTTAATTGCTTGGTTGCACACCGGGAAGTAGGAAAGCAATTTGTAAATACAATATATTTGTTGCTTCTTAATGTGTTGTGTAACAGCTGCAAAGCGGATTATCCCAAACCTGCAGCTGCGTAGTATATCTGGAGTGTTATTAGCAGCTCCAGGAAAGGATTTTCTTTGAGGGATATATGATTATAATAGTAGACTTCACACTTTGATAAAAAATAAATAAATTATAGCAAAATTCTGGCACTCGGCTTGTTTTTGACAGGAAAAAGATTTTTTCAAGACAACCATGCTGAAGTTTGAAGCCACTTAAAAAAGTTATTGTTTTTTAAATTAAAGCACATTCATATTTATTGAACATGTTCTTTTAAGTGCAGTGTAAATGGCAAGTAAGGAAAAAATGAACAGTTTACCATAAATTACATATATTAATTCTAATGGGTAAAATCAATGTAGGTGTAGAGGAGTGATTATTTAGTAACCACCACTCCTGTGTTCTAAGAGCCCAGTGCAAGTTGAACATGTTTAAAGATGCACTGAATAAAGCTGCAGTAAACTTGGTCATGTGTGTGTCTGGACAGACGAGGGCAATATTTCTTCTTTCTTTAGAAACTTGGATGATTCTTGCTGTTAAAAAATGGTTATTAAATGCATAAAATTGAAAAGAAAGAAAATCATGCTAAAACACACCCTGGGTTTTACAGATGTTTGTGCCAGTTTATGAAATGTCAATAATCTTTCTCAGACTGGGGGTCTCTGATGCACTTTCCACCTGAATAGCTGTGCAATTAGGCTTCCTGGCTGCTTTCCTGCTCTGGTTCTGGTTTATATATATCTATATCTATATCTATATATCTATATCTATATATATATATAATAAAAAAAGAAATTATAAGGTCAACAATTTTAATGCTTTGTGTGCAACACAGTGCTCAGTTTTTTTTACAGCTCTTTCACAAAGACAAAAGGGAACACATTTCCAAGAGAACACAGGTCAGAACTAATAAATACAAATAATAAATATAGATATACTTTTAGTCTTTTCTGCTCTATGCTCTGAAAATAAATAAAGAACACATTTTGGCACCTTTAATTATTCTTTAAAAGTCTAATTCAGAATCAAACAGCTGCCACAAGCTTCCTGGTTGTACAGTGGAGCCCTGCTCTGCTGACAGCTTCTCTAAGATGGGGTCTATTTCTGTGAGGCACAGAGAGCTGCTGCTGTCCTGAGACCAGAAGCTCAGAGGCGTGATGAAACAACCTTCAGTTTCACTGGATCTCCTCTCCTTGTTAAGTGGCACCAGACTGCCTGGACTGACACTGTCCTTGCTGCTCACTGTGCTCATGTCACAGCTCTCAGGTTTCTGCTGTTTGTTCACGAGAGGTTGACGGTTTTCATCCGAGACTGCACCCTTACTCCTCTGTGACAAAACCAGGGGTCTCTTTTTGGGCCTTCTTTGTCTCTGAGTAAATTTCTGCTTTCCAGCTAGGTGGCTGCGATTACGACGGGGAACTTCAACCTGGTGTTGTTCAGCGTTGTATGACGCACATGTAACCTGTGTGCCTTCAAGCTTGCTGTTGTGCAGGATGCTGGACACTGACTCCTCTGGTGCTGGTGACGTCTGCATGGTGTTATCCATCACTCCCTCAGAGCGGGGTTTGGACAAGTGCTCTGAGAGTAAGGCGCTGAGCAGCTTCAGGGCCTCTTCGAGCATGTGTCCTTGTCTTCCCTGTTCCTCTTTCAGACCCTCCAGACTACTTATTAAGTTTTGCAGATGTGAGTCAAGCTCTGCTACAGTGTCTCCATTCTACAGGGTATAAATGAACAGTTATACTCCTCACTCATCAGAAACATTGCCAATTAAATCTCATTTCAAAATAAAGAACACGACAGACAACATCTTCACCTTTTGCACTGTTTCCTTAAGTTGTGTCATCACATCCTGTTGGGAGTCCATATTATTTACCAAAGTCTTAAACTGCTGGGAGATGTGGCCCTGATGATTGTCCAAATTATTTTGCACTGGGATGAACAAATAAAAACATTAAACACAGAATAAAAATGACAACGGCGTTAGAAGTGGATTGCTGCGCGGCAAGCAGCACCATCTGCTGGTGTTAATATTTCCTTTTCAATACATCAACTTAACCATGTTTTATAAAAACACTCAATTCAACAAGGAAACTTACATGTTGATGTGAAACTGTCAATTTTTTCAGAAACTATTTGGCACACTGCTGCGTTTCTCTCAGTGCCAGCAACCAGCTGTTGAATCTGAAAAGAACATTTTTTTGTTTTCAAATTAAAAACATTTTAAAGAGAAGGTCATCTGAATTTGAATAACTAGAATCAGTTTACGTTATCACTTACATTGCTAAGTGTTTCTCTGATATGCTGGCATTCTTTGGCTAAGTGATCACTGTTAAAGCAAAAAGCAGGGAAAAAAGGTTACGTAGGGATTTAGAGTTGCATATTTGAAATGACAAAAAGACGCACCTGTCCTTTTTTTCTTTTGCCTTTTTCTTGTCTTCTTCAAATTTATCCAGTATTCCTGAAGTTCTGGTTTTATCCTTCAAGTCTCCAAGGAGAAGAGGCTTAGTGTGATAACTGCTTGAAAACTTTGGGTCACTCCCCTAAACAGAGACAAAATACAAATGTTAGGAAAGCAAGAATTATTTAATATGTTTGTGTGTGCGCGCTTATGATCCCATTAGTTTTTGTCACGCACATAAACAACTTTTATGGTATTGGAAATTCAGAAATGCTTATTTTTCATACAACGAACATCTACTCATTTCTTTACCATATTGTCTTTGTCATTTAAATATTTGACATTAATGTAAAAATGGCCAAGCTTTAACAATTTACAGGTAGAGTTAATTGGCTTTGGAAAAATCCAGATTACAGACAAGAGTTAAAACTAAATAAGAGCATGCTAGAAATTAACACAGTATTGCAAATGAAAAGAGGAGAGCTGCAGCTCTATAAAAAGAGAATAATTAGCTGAATGAAAACAGGTGATCTGACTGGGGAATTGGGTTAACAGTAATAAGTGTGATGAAACAAAGACAGTAAAACGCACAGTGGTTTCATGGAGGAAATATGTAAAGAAGGGCTACAGTCAAAGACCTGTAAATGTTAGTACAAGTGGGAGCCAAAGTTATAGATTTGGTTGAGTATGTAGTTTCAAGACTGTATAATATACACAAAGAAAATGCAAACCATTACTACAATATTTGCCTCGTCGTTAGCCCTTTTATGAATTTAACAGGGTGGAGGGAAAAATCAATACAGCATTGTACTGCGATTTTGATAGAGACACCAAATACTGATATTTTATTAAATAAAATAAAATATTCTTGGAATACTATGAACAAGAGCACTCATCTCCTGAAATAACATCAAGTGAGATCTAACAGATTGCCAACATGTTGCCATCAGTGTGAATGAGTCTTTGTCAATGAGCACAATTCATTTACAAAGTTTAACTGTGAGGAATAATTTGCGTTCAAAAAAAGGTGACAAATTGCAAAGTAAGTTATTGCAGTACTCTGACGTTAAAAATTGCAATAATATCATATCCTCACTGAAGTATTGTATTAATATCATATCGTGGGGTGTTTGGTTATTCCCATTTCTAATGCTTGGCTTTGCATTTCGTAACCAAGAACCATCTGCAAGGTGAACATGGGAAATCCTACCTCTTGTGAACTTTGCTGGGAAGTTCTGGAGGACAAACTCATATCCTGAGATGCGCTCTGAGAATTTTCATGCCAAAACTGAGACTCAAAGAAGATCTGAGAGTCTGACAAACTGGAGAAACCACTGGTAGATGCATTTCTGTTTGCATTTTCATCCCAATGAAGTGTAACAATAGAGAAGAAAACACAAACACAGTCAAATTATGTAGCAAAACCATTTAGTAACCTTTTTTTTTTAAATTGTGTTTACATGTGTTTACATGAAAAACTTCAAATGTTTTTAGAATTAAAGGGAAAATAGCAATGTTGTATGTCAATAACAAGAGATTAAAAAACAGAAAAAAAATAGTGTAGTGGCACATTTTAATTACCTGCTTCCAGTTGGGATATTTAGCATTTCCTTTATATTTCGTATATGATTCATTGCTCTTTGGTTATCTGTTTGTAAAGATAATAAGTTAGCCACAGTCTCATCTAACTGTCATATTAGCAGTACAGTAGCTAATACAGGTAGATATTAGCAAGTTGTTCACAGCTAGAACATCAATAAAGGTCTTCAGTAAAAAGTAATCTTGTTAACGTTAGTGTGTATAGATGTTATATCAGTAATTCACCACTGAAATATATTATTTAAATTACCTCACAGTTCTTTCAGATGTGATTATTGATAGCTAGCTGTGTGAAACGTAATTAAAACTCCCGCCATCTGCAGAGGCTGCGCTGCGTTCAGTGGCCGTCGGAATGTGTCCTACTGCAACACACCTGAATAAAATTAGTAGGTCATTGTTAGTAAGACTATAGAACTTGATTGTATGCTGAGGTGGCAGTTCAGCCATCTGATTTATGTTACAGCAGCTCATGAGTGAATGAGCATGGTGCAATAAAAAGTAATTTTACAAGTACATTTTCCAAACACATTTTCTTACATTTATGTAAATTTACTTGAGTAGGGTTAGGGGTTGCCACCTCGGCATGCAGTAAAGTTCTATAGAGTCTTGCTAATGACCTACTGATTTTATTGAGGTGTGTTGCTGCAGGGACACCGGTCCTTGAGAAAGTTTTTCTTATCATACAGAGATGCTTTATCAATCCAAGTATTTATTGACATGCCTTGCTCACCCACCCATGGATCTATCGGCATTTATTTTCAAACATCTGCAGAAATTAGATTAAAGATAAAAGCAATACAACAAGCTAAACAGGACTGTAAAGTGGTCCATTATTATTAAATGAATTATTACTAACACAATATTGTTTTGTACTTTGTTTAAAAAAATTCAGTTACTCTGTAAATCCTGTGAAAATATTTGAGTGCTCAAAACTGCAATTTATAATTTCCAAACCCTCGCAAATTCAAGAGCGTTGTGTGTACTGATCCATTATTAATATTATCATTATTACTGGTACTAGGAGGAGGACGAAATGGAGAATGAGAAGAGAAATAAAACAAATGTTCTGCTTGTTATTCTGTTCTTTCTCACAGGAGCGTCGCCGTTCTTATAACTCTTATTTTGAAAGGCGTTTCCGGAAGTTTACATGCTAAATGTAAATCCGGTAGCTGTGAGCCAGTCGTTGTAGGATTATCTGTTTGTGGGTCAACACCAGAGGTGTTGTGATGAGCAGTCTGGCAATAGCTGTTACTATCTGAGTGGTAACACCTCCGCGGCGGACGAGACCAGCCGGTTACTAAACCGCGCCTAGGAGTTTGGTCAGGCCAAAGCCTGGTGTTTGGCTGGTAAGTTAACTTTTTCTGTCTCCACACTCAGCGGCTACTGATGTTGTTAGATTGTAAATATATCCGATCATGTGAAAAAAGGTTTAGATCTTCAACTCGGTAGTTGGGCGTTATTTTAACTGCTACAACAATCAAGTTAAGCCTTCAGCTCGGTGACAGGTGCTAGCTATCGCTGTGTAGCTTCACTGACGTTAGCTCGTTGCGTGCAGTTTTCTGAAAATTTAGCTTTGCTGCTTTTCTCCTCAAATAATTGTATTGTGCCGCAGAGTTAGATGTAAAAGTGTAGTTTTTCCACAATAAAAAGTTGTGGGGGGAAATAGTGAAAACTACTTTATTAACAACAACAAAAAGGGCTATGCATTTATTTGTGTTGTCATGAATGTTCAAACTGTTTAATGGTAACTAAATTGTAGTTTACTATCAAGCATATACTGGATCTTCCACTGTTGTGATCAGACAAATGTATTCTTATATTAACTAAGTTAAAGCAGTTAGAGACAAACATATTTACCTACAGTACTGTGCCTTGAGCCATCCTTCATATCTTATTTTGTTTTCTGAAGATTCTTTAAAGTTTTTCTTTGGACATTGGATGCTTTTTCATTCCTTTTCAGTCCATTCCTTGTACCTGACCATTTTTTAAAATTTTGTTAGACCACTTAACACTGACCTGTGAATCATTCAAGCATAAAAGACTCGCCTAATTCAAAAGGATGAAGCAGTGTTGTGTCTACCCATAACAGATAGCTTAGCACCTAACCAGTTTTTCTGTCTTTAGTCATTTTGTTACTAGTAACTTGTCACAAAACCACATAATTCGTTCCCATTTATTTAGCCAAATCTCAAAAAAAGAAAGAAAAGGTTGGCACAGTTTGACAGACAGAAAAAAGTATCTTAGCGACAACAAAATGATTTGTAAAGTGCAAACTTAACATTTGCTGGCATGGTGTGCAGCATGACCTTTAAAAATAAGGAAACAGGACAAGTTTGTTTAAGTAATCCAAACCGATTAATAGTATGTGAATGTAACTAACTGCCACAGGATCTGAAAGATCATCTGGCCCAGTTGATCCACCTACTGTTCACTGAACACTCATCAGAAATGGTCTGAGTGTAATCTTTAAGAAAGGACAACCGTAGTATTCCAAAGTATTAAATAACTGGAATGAAAATCAGCGGCAACAAGTGTTGTTAAGGAGTGATGAAATTGTTTGTTTGTTTTTTCTTTTTGTCAAATTCTTGGTAAATCTTTTGTGACAATAGGGAGTGAATAATTCCTGTAACCGGGGAAAAAAAAAACATCTGCAGAACCTGACTATGTGAGGGCAGACATCTGCTTCGACCGGTTGGGGAAGAGAGGAAGGTGAAAGCAAATAGTGTTACAACAAACACTTGGCAGGTTAGACAGGCACTTAACTGCAGAGGGCTCAAATAAAGTCTATAAGTTGCATTAGGGTTGAATAAATAAAAATATATATATGATTTAAGATAAGAAAATCTGAAGCCAGCTCTCATTACTTACTGGTTTTCTAAAAGGAAATTTAGCCAGTATGTAGGCTTTATAGACATCCTGTTTATGAAATGTATTAAGTTGTCTGCTTTTTGTTTTTGTTTGTTTTTTTCTCCAAGGGTTCAAATATGGCTCTGCCATTCCTTCTGGTCTTTGCTGCCACCGTGATTCTTATCAGACCCGAGACGCCTGTAACTAAGGTAGGAAATGAACGTTACCTAAGGCAAAAGACCAGCTCATGCTATGTTCTGCCGATGTCGATCTCTTAATCTACGCATGTTTCTCTGCTTACAGGCCCTACATCAGAACTCACTTGAATGTTGTGGTGATAAGCAAAGAGCTAACAGTTCATGCTCAAATGACACCCACTGTGAACCAGGTAGTGTGGATGTTTTTAATGTCTCATCACTGACGAACACTGGGAGAAAGCATATTGGCCTTATTACGTTGGCTACCACTGAGATTTGACCCGTTTGACATCATTGTTGTTATCAGTATACGATTAGGCAGAGTTAAAAGACTCAGAGTAGTGCAGAGCCTCTGATTGTTAAGTATTTTGGAAATTTGTGCGTATGGTCTCTTTAGTCTAGTTGACCTAAATTATTCCCTATAATGACTCAGAATAATTCATTTCTGAAGTTTGGAAAAAGGCTTGCTGTGCATCGCACTTGTGTGTTAATGTTTAACTACGCATTTGAAGATCTCAGGGATTAAATGTGCATTTAACACTTTGTTTACTTACGATCAATGTCGGCTGTACGTGGCCTTTGATATATATGAGTTTGACATCACTGATATAGATGATTTATTCTGTACAGTTGGGATTCAAAGATAAGTTAAAAACAATTCTGCCTTTTTGATACATGAATGGAAACAGCATTTAGCAGCTACTTAAAGATATCTGCGTGATACATCGCCATGCCCTGGTACCTCATCGGATTATAGAAACTGCAGTTAATTTAGTGTATCAAACTGGAGAAAGACTTGTAGTTTGTCGCTACAGCACTATAAATACTCAAATCAAAGTGTGTAAAAATTCACACTATGTAATACAGATGTCATTCTCTTGAATTTCACAGGATGTTTCCTGCGCGTCCTCGAGAACACCAACACCGTCTGCATATTGTGCGACTCGGCAGCTGTCGATTTAGAAAATATAACAGTCTGCACCTACAGTAAGGACTCTGGGCTCTCTGCGTGTTGGATTGTGTCGCTCATGTTTGGGTCGTTTGTGTTAACACGCCTTTTTCTGTGCTTTCTAGACTACACACTGGAGCGTAAAAATCATACAACTGTAACGACAGTTGTTCCTAAAATTGGTAAGATGTGCAGACTGATTTCATGCGGTGTAATATTCCTTGCATGGTTAGAGACGGGAATGTTTGATGCAGTAAATGTCTGTCAGTTCATTTCCTGTTTTTGTGCTGTGTGTTTTTGTGCAGGTGGCCCTGGTGTGGCAGCCTCTCTACTTCTGGGAACGCTGTTGATCAGCCTCTTCCTGATACTCTCTGTCGCCTCCTTTTTCTACCTCAAACGCTCCAACCGACTTCCAAGTATCTTCTACCGCCGCAACAAGGGTGAGGAGCACTGCACAGTGACTCGCAGTGACACGCTTTTGGTGCTGGCTTTGATTTTGTAACTTTCTTTTTTCCCCTCCAAATGCAACATTATGTTTTTGTTCTTTTTCAGCCTTCATATTTCAACCAAGTGAGACAGTAAGTGGATTTTGACTTTTTGTTTTTTTTAGTAGTAGTAGCATATTCAGAGTGTAGAAACTACACATCTGTTTTCAACTAAGTCTTTGTGCGTCAACTGTTTAACCTTTGTTCTTTTCCTTCCAGGCTGTTATGATCCCCTCCTCGTCAGGTGAGATGGCCACACTCTCTTTTGTAAACTGTAATCTTTGACCAGGAAGTATTATGTGAAGCAGCAGTATTTATTATTATTCATGAGGATGCATGGAAAATTTTTCTATTTAAAAACAAAACAAAACAATACAAAAAAACCACACAAAATGAGCTCAAACATGCGAATTGTGATTACAGTGAATGTGTCCTCCTGTTCCTCTCACAGATGATTTTATGACCCTTCATTTGCTCTCTTTTCCAGTGAGGAAACCCAGATATGTCCGAAGAGAGCGACCCTCTGCTTCGTCAACACTGAACAGTGCAACCATCACGACAACTTCATCTGCTCAAGTTTATAATGTGTAGGGTGGGGGGTGCAGGTAGGAGAGAGAGCTCAGGAACGCCGTTAGATTTACAAAAGGGTGAAGGAAGACAAGATGACTCTAATAAGGATGGCCAAATTTAACTGTAGCTGCTTTTGCTGGGCTGTTAATTTTTCTCTATGTATTGAGAGTATAACAAAAAACTGACCAGTATCAAGTAACTAACTTTCTGGGGCTCTGAACTGTCTTGTACTCAATTAGTTATTCGTTAAAAATGAAGCAGCCACGCAGTCTAGCCGTCCCAGGAAAAATGGCTCGTGTTCATGTGCAAGTTTG